AATACTGATTGAAAAGTCGAACGAGTATCAAATCCCATTATACATGGCATTCATAGACTTCCGAAAGGCGTTTGACAGCATAGAACATTGGACCATCAAAAAACTCACTACAGAACGGCAGAATTGATTACAGGTACATGGACCTAATAACAAACATATACAAAAATGCGAGTACCACAATAAAATTGACGAACAAACACGCTACAGGACCAATAAAATTCGAAAGAGGAATCACGCAGGGAGACACAATATCACCAAAATTGTTCAATCAGGCTATGGAAGACATATTTAAAAAATTAGAATGGGATACATACGGAATAAGAATAAATGGAGAGCTCTTGAACCACTTGAGATATGCAGACGATATAGTCCTGATAACAGATAATAAGGAAGAGTGACAGAAGATGGTTAAGGAACTAGATAGAAAAGCGACAGAGGTAGGTCTAGAGATGAACTATAGTAAAATCATGACTATGACAAACCAAGAAGACCAATTAGAAATAGTAGTCAAACAGAATAAATTAGAGCAGGTGGCAGAATACATATACGTAGGACAGATAATAAAGCTGAACAGGGACAATCAAACAGAAGAAATAAAAAGAAGAACTAGACTAACATGGGCCTCATTTGGTAAACTATCATATGTTCTAAAAAATAAAAAGTTCCCTCAATATATGCGAACGAAAGTATTCAACCAGTGCATTTTACCAGTTATCACATATGACTCACAAACATGGACTTTCACAAAGGAGAACATCGACAGGATATCCAAAACACAAAGAGCAATGGAAAGACAGATGCTGGGTATCGGAAAGACAGGAAAAGAAACTCATGAATCAGGGAAAAAACAAAGGTGAACGATGTATCAAGACAGGTTGCAAAACTTAAATGGAACTACGTCGGTTACACTCTCCGGCAAAAAAAAATGAAATAAGCGAATTCTACACTGGAGACCATGGGAAAAGAAAAAGAGGAAGGCCACAGATGAGATGGACTGACGATCTTAAGAGAACGGCAGGAAAGGACTGGATGCAGATCGCCCAAAATAGAGACCAATGGAGATTAACAGGGGAGGCCTATGCCCAAGAGTGGGCGTTTAAGGCTGATTAGAGAGATATATAGATAGTGTGAATAACATGTTGACGTTGAACATGACCAAACAATCTTACCTCATATCTTTGGATTGGTGTCACTGCTAACACTTCTCCTAATATATTCATTCTTAATTTTATCCTCAATTTTCGAACTTCTCTCCTAAGGTTTTCCAATTACTCGTATTTCAAAACTAGCCATATTTTCTCCAAATTGTATTAGGACATCCGTTTATACTTCAACACATTTTTTTAGTGTTTTGCCATGAATAGTCCTTCTTTCCCATATTTTAACGTCCACCACTTTTTTGTGGTATCTCTATATTTTGGATTCGTTTCGATTTTTAGTTCGATATGAATGAAGTCAAGCACAAGCAACTCATGTTGTTGGCTCACAGTCTTAACAGCTATTAACTTTGAGTCCTTACATTTACGTATATCTTCTTATAATGCATTAATTTATTTAAAAGTGATTTTGTCCACTTTTATATGTGATAAGTTGACTTCTCCTCTTTTTAAAGAATTGCAATCGCTATATACCAGCAATTTATCTCTACTCTACTTATCTAGTTTTTAGTCCTCCATGTATTGGTTCATATAATCTGTTAGATATGCACATGTAGCATTAAAATCAGTTCCTATTTTGACCCTTCGCACTAAGGAAATATCACTCAGTATGTCTCCTAATTGATCATGGAAAGCTTTCCTTTCATTCTCACCCAGATCGATTTGAGAAAAATTCACACACATACATAACATTCAACACATATGTTTAGTATAAATGTCACTCTCATTTTTCTATCACTCATTTTTACAACTTCAGCTAAGTTATCTTCCATTTCTCTATCAGCAATTAAACCAGTTAATTACTTTTTCCTACATACCACACTTTGTATCCTTCACCCAGTTTTTGCGCCCCTTGTTCGTTGGACCCCTCCGTCCCCTTATCCTGAATGCAAACAATGCTTACTTTTTGTCTTAAGTGCACTACCAACTCCATATTCTTACCTGTAAGACCTGCAATATATCAAGACTTAATCATGATTTTTCTAATCTGTAATTGTATTTCCCCTAATATAGTTTTTAGCTAGAAATCCGTACGAAGTCTCTGTTTGTTTTCGGAATAATTTACCCCAGATATTAATAATATCTGGGGGATATATAATTAATAGTAAGATACCTTCGTATCAGTATAATTTTTGTTACAGTGTAAAAGATTTTTTTATTACTATGGCCAGATTTTTTCCTTGTGGAAAATAATTTTTTTAACTGTCAATTTTATTGTCAATGATGTATACTTAAAATTTATTATGTATCAAGAACTTAGTGGATTAACCGTTAACTCTAAAAATATTGTCATCTATTACATTTTTTAGCTTCAACACATTCGCATCCCCACAAAGGGTCGTCCTATACACTTTTCAAATACGATTTCAAATCTCCGTCTTCGATATGAATAGGTTTTCTCGAAATAAACATATTTCTGTTCAGCGAAGTCTGATGCTTGAGGCAACTATCGGATATCTAAATATTGGACCAGAAAGTTATGTACATTAGAAAAAATTGCAGCTGCGGGCGTCGGATCCTGTTTAGATATTGGAAAATGTCCTGCTTCTATGCATTTCTCCACGAGCGATTGAGCCTTTTGATGTCGAGGTTGTTACCCCCTGCAATTTTCTAGCCACAGATGTTTCTCCGGTGGAAAAATTCAGCTCGGTTTCCACGAAAAGGTAAAGGTGGAAGGGAATAGAATCATTCTCATCAAGTTTTTAATCAGAAAGTGCAAAAAGCTTGAAAGATATTGAGTCAAATAGTACAAAAAGAATGTTTTATTTCAATATTTGTTTAAAAAGAATGTCGATCATTCTTTTACTACTGACATTATTTATAGTGTTTTGCAGACAATACAAGTGGTTTAAATTAACGAAATTGTACTTATACAAAAATATAAATAGTGTATAATATAATATATCCTTTTAATACCAATTATCAATAAGTCAAGTTAAAGTTGAGCCAAATACTGACATTGTTAAAGTGCGTTTTGCTTTGTATAACTACATATAAATAGCCCTCAACTCAAGGAGCAAAGAAATAACTCAAGTGCTGAAAGAGAAACAAATAGACATTTGCTTCTTATTCAGAAAGATTCTCTAAGTCCTCTATTGTTTAACGTGATTACATGATTATCGTTGAAACAATCATATAAGCAGAATGACAAGAAATAGAGTAGTAAAGAGAGCAAGGTAAGGCTTTTTAATAGGAAGGTGATCAGTAGGAAGAGCACGAAAACGTTGGAATGACAACTTATTGCAGGCACATTAAAAAACAGACGGAGTCATGTCTAAATAAAATGAAGAAGTAGAAAAGAAGACCTATAAATAAGAGATTGCCAAGATATGATGATCAATGTATTATTGCTTTAATTTGGATTTACGCTGATAAATTGTGTTTTTATTGTATATAAATATGTCCGTTTACCATTTGAAAGTATAAATGTAGACAATATACACCCAGGTGCAAAAAATTAGGTTCACGCCTATTTTATAAGGAAAAACACATTTTTGAAGATACCACTTATAGATTGGGCACACATTTAAGGAGCTTTAAATATAAATAAAAAACACAATTTATGCGAAAAAATTATTTATTTATAAAAAATATGGCAACATTCAACAAATGAAAAAAGGACAAATAGCTTTTTTGATAAAAACAGTTATAAATAAATAGTGTTTCTGTCATTTGTTATTAATACCTAGTATTTCCTCATCGGGCTCTTGTAACAGCCTGCATACGTCTTGGAATTGTGAAATTCAATTTTGAACGTTAGAAAAATACTACAATTCGTCCCATATTGTTTCAGAACCGTACTAAGATCAGCTAAGTTGTTTTTACGAGGTAACCGAACTTGAATTCATCTTCTCAGTGTGTCATATAGATGTTCGATTAAATCGAGATCGGGACTGGAAACTGGACAAATCAATCAGATAATCCCGATGTCTTTTAATTATTCATTGACGATTCTAGCACGGTAGGTACATGCATTATCGCCAATACAAATAAAACTAGGTCCTGCGAATGGTACAAAACTCATACCACACCACCAAAACCACATACTCGTCTAAAATAAGTAAGAGTATCGGAACTTATATTAGCCCAAACCATAACTGAGTCTCTTCGATAAGTTATTCTGTCGGCAATATTGCATTGGGCAAATAATTTTCCTTGTCTTCTTCAGATTCTTTCGCAACCATCTGGTGACCTTCAGCAATACTTGGGCTCAACCAAGAACAAAACATTGCTTCAATTTGCTTAATTCCAATTTTCTTGATCTATTGCAAAATAATCTCGAGCTATACTATGTTCCACGGGTAGCTATGAACATAGAGCTGGTCTTCTGGATAATAAAATCGCTTTAAGAAGTCTTCAACGAACTATCCACCTACTTAAATTCGCAATTCAGACTTCGTTCAAGTCCCCTAGTACCTGGGCGGCATAATATTCTCTACGACCAACTTGCAACCAAGCAACTGCTCTTGCAGTATCTATTGGTGGTAATTCATGGTAAGTCATTTTAATACAAATAAAATTCCCTATATAAGATGATTTATATGTATTTGAGTAATTTTGAATGTAAACAGGTTTTGTCGGTCTACTTGAAGTAACGGCTGGTGAATGTGATCCTTTTTACCTGGTAAGTATTTGTTTTTTTGTTCTAATAGTTTTATTTTGTTGTAACAAACTTTAGGTAGCTGTTGGTATTTACTAACTAACATTATGAAAAGGTCATTTAATAATAAAAGGTTCTACAAAAGGTGTACGCAAATGCCACCAGTAGGTGTTAACGATTACAACAGTGGATTAAATAGATTAGAATTTATGACAAGATTTTAAACAATGAATTCTTTTCAGGTGAGGTTCCTACAATTGTATTTTACGGGAAAAGTAAAACTGAAGTTGATGTGACCTTTGTCCAAGCAGAAAAAGCATTAGTTGCCGTATATGATGACTGTTCTGATATAGACGTTCATGGAGATCCAGATTATAAAGAGGTTGATATGTCAACATCAGATGAAGATGAAGTAGCATTTGAAAAAGAAGAAATTCATCAAAAGACTGAAAAGTAGAAAAAACAAAAACTATCTGAAAGACTAGAAAAGTTGTACCGCCAAATGGTATTTTTGATCGATCCAGTGAAAGTAATTTTAATTATGATGAAAGTGACACTTCAGATGACCATTCACATTCAAGGAGTTTTCTGAAAAAACAAATTCTTATTCTGTTTACAATAATGGTAAAGGTCTCAGTACTGACGAAGATGAGATTACGCCGCCTGGTTGCCCTGCACCCGAAACCGATTTGAAAGTTTACGTAATTATTTACATCTCAGATGTCAACACCGACAAGAATTCCAATGATAAACTTTGGAAAGTGAGGAATATAATTACCAGCTTTGAAAAGCTTTGCGAAGAATTAATACTTAAACAAAATAACTGTATAGATTAGACAATTATACCATTCAAGGAGCAATTTTCTCTAAAAGAGTATATTAGAGGCAAACCAAATACTTGGGACATAAAAGTCTTTAATTTTTGTGGTGTATCAACAATAATATATATATATATATATATATATATATATATATAATATATATATATATAATATATATATATATGATCGGTAGTTTATCAAGTCGCAACTACATTACCTATGTCTGTAGAAATGAACGACAATGCTACAACTTGTTCTGTATTTATCAGAAAGATTACCAGATAATTCGGGATATAAGCTCTACTTTGATAATTATTGTAATTCAACGGAATTACTAAACTACGAAATTACTTCACAGGAGAATAATATTTGCTGATGGAATTATTAGACAAAATCGCATGGGAAACTGTACACTTCACTTCGGAAAATAAATGAAACTATCAGAAAGAGGAAGTACAGACTCGAAAATTACTTCTGATCAAAATACGGTTGCAGTTAGATGGTTCGACAACAAGGTCGTAAATATGGCCTCAAATTTTATAGGCTTAGGGCCTACGGATGCTGTCAAACGTTGCGATAAAAAAAAACAAAAAACCTATGTACAATTTGAACGTCCAGCAGTAATTAAACTTTACAATCAAGGTATGGACGGCGTGGATAAATGTGATTTCCTTGTATCACTTTATATAACGTTTATTAGAAGTCGATCGGATAGCCAAGCGGGCTGGGCGACTGGCTTCTCCTTCGCTTCAATGCGAGAGATGTCAGGTAAATTTCCAGCTCGGTGTACAGAAAACAAAAAAGGCTAATGTAGCACTTTAAAATTCTAAATGAATCTGCGGCTTAGTCTAGAATATGCTGGTATCTGATCGGCCTATGGTGGAGCAGTACGGCAAGAGATAAGGGCTTGTGGTTCGGTGATACTCCTCTATAGATCCCTACCGGAAGGGCGTGTGTTGCCTAAATACCGGATATATATATATATATATATATATATATATATATATATATATATATATATATATATATATATACCTATATATATATTAGAAGTAAGAAGTGGACTCTACGGGTAATATTTCACTATGTAAATGTGGCAGTGTGCAACTCATTATTGGAGTATCGTCGTGACAATCAAAATAAACCTAAAAATAAGAAAATAGATTTATTGGAATTCACATTTTACGTTGCAGAAGCTTTAGCTTTCTCTAAAGCTCCACTGCGAATACCGAAAAGAGGTCGTACTTTAAATGAGTCACCTAGAAGTTCTCCTAGAGATTCCCTTGGAACAGCGTTACGGTTTTCAAGGATGCAGCCAAAGATCACGCACGATATGTGAAAAGTGTAACGTCTTTCTGTGCTTGTTGAAAGACAGAAATTGTTTCAAGAGTTATCATACAAGACTTCAATAAAACATAATATATTCTTATGCATGCTTTTTCTGTAATAAAATATTATATATAATTTTATGTTTATATATATGCCTAAATAACCTCTTGGTGGCAATTGCCACCAACTTGTAAAATGAAAAGTGGGGATTTAAAAATTTTATAAAAAATATTTTCAGTATTATTTAGGTGTCCACTTAAAGAAAATATCAACAGAAAAATTTTACCTTTGAAAATAAAACAGGGTTAAATGATGAAAGGGTTAAAAAAATGCATGTGGGTATAAGAACATAATGATGAAAATGTATTTGTGTTTAACTAAAACACCCCCTATTAAATAAAACAGAAATATTTTATCTAGTGATTTGAAAATAAGAAGAAACATTTTTTGTAGAAATAATGAAACTTATTTCCTATTTGTGATGTAAATTAACAAGAAATTTCAGTTTAAAATTCATTTATTTTAAATAATGCCACAAGAAAATAGCTTCAGAATAATAAGACTTATATAAATCATTTCGATAACCTTAACTATTTAAGTATATACTCATAAATATTTATTGATATAGGTAATTAATGGTTGTGTACAACCCGTAAATCTGTTCGCATAAAGTATTTCATATTTGCCGTTATTATCTCCCGCATTTCTAATATCTAACGACCCTGGCAGCTCGCCAAACTGTATCACGAAACTGATTAAACACCCTTTTGCAAAGTAGGAGAAACTCTTTTATACATTTTGGTCTAGCAATTATAGTCGATGATATATTTGTACTCTCTGTTAGCCTAAAAAACCTGTCAGATGCCAGAAAAGAATAGGTCTTCTTACAACATTAGCAACATTATTTGTGTTGTACTAAAAGCTTAATAGGTGGCCTTATGGCGGCTACAAAAATGTGAAAACAGTGTTTATTTGGTAAACAGCTTTTAAATCAATATAAGAATAACATTTATGAGAATAAAGCAAATGTGATACTTAAGAAAATTTAATTGTCATATTTGAGTCACCTTGAGAATAATAATACATAAACAAGTATATGTAAATTATGAATGTGTTGCTTGTGTGAGTCCATTTCAAATAGGTAAAAGAAATAATAAATAAGACTTACTCACAATCAGTTTAATTCAACTATCTAGACGACTAGATAGACGTGATCTAGATTTTAGAGGTAAACTCATTTTCTCCAATTCAGAGATGTAGTGCTATTAAGTCCCCATTTTTTTAAATTTAATGTCTGTTTTGTCCTTTTTGAAGTGTGTTCTGTCCCTAAGTGTCTTTAATTGTTTTAGTTTTAATAATTTTAACATACTTGACTTTACAATCATCTGCCAAATAACAGTAAGCTAATTGAACTTTATCAAAGAAATTTAATAATTACAAGTTAGAGGAATTTGCACACCCACACAATTCTATATTTAATTTTATTCATTATCATACAGATATTATCATCATACACATAACATCACTTTCATTTAACAAACAATCACATTATACCTATTTCTACTTCATTGGATAAAATCTATCTCCTCAAAAAACTTCCCCGTTGATCATCAAACAATTACAATAGTAAAAACTGAAGATCCCCTTTCAGCAATTACAGGATAGTTTGAACTATGTTTTTGCAACCAGTAATTAATAGTGTACCGGTATGTAAGTAACGTTTTGTTTATTTACTAATTTATTAAAATTCAATAGACTATTTTTATACCAATTTGTGGGTTTTACTTTGCCTGCTTAAACAGTTTATTCATTAAAAAAAAACCACAGACATGTAATATTGGCATAATTACTGTAATTTATATTATTTATCTTTTGATTATCTTTATAAGACAATACCCTACTATGAGTTTTATTATTTCAACATTTAATTAACATTGTATTGGCAGACCTGAAGATGCTTTGCAAATTGTAGAAAGCGAAACCAGTCGTCTAGATAGTTAAAAGTAACTGATTGTGAGTAAGTCTTATTTATTATTTCTTTTACCCAAGTATATGTAACTAATAATTTTGTTCGTCGGATGCGACGGGGCTTCCAATCAATTGCCATCTACAGTCACTCATTAAATTTTTAAAATAATAAACTTCTTGTATATAAACCAAAATCCGCCTATGATATTGTCGTAATAGCTAAGGACTTGGGAACAGCAAGAGAGATGGTACAGGAACTCATAGTGGCCACAGAAAATGTATGTGTGAATATAAACATCTCATCTCGAAAACAAAAATAATGACAAATTTGGTACCCAACTACAACATCAGTATTATATCCAGATATTATATCCGGTTATTATAACCACAATATCAGTATCAGGTGTGCAATAAGTAGATTTCGTAGATAAATATAATACCTATGATATGAAATTATGAGTGGTAGAGATAATCAAACCCATGAACTGAAGAGAAGAGTCGGTCTTAAGTAGGCAGCATATGGAAAACTGAAAAGAACTTTTAAAGTGAGATTTGATCAATGCGTCTTCACAGTGTAGACATACGGAACACTAACACTTACTGTAACAAAAGCCGCAGCTATCAAACTAAGAGTCATACCGAGAATAATGAAGCGATCCATATTATGAGCAACTCTGCGAGACAAAAAAAGGAGGAGGACAATAGAAGAACCGATGTGAATGACGTCATCGAAAGGATAGCCAGACTAAAATGGAGATGGGACACATAGGTAAAATGACGGGTGGGCGATGGAAAAAGAGGTTATTGGAATTGACATCAAGTAAAGAAAAGAGAAGTGTCGGTCGACCATCTACACGATGGGCTGACGATTTGAGAAAAAAAAAATAAAAACTGGTTGAGAGTGGCCCAGGATAGACGGAGTTGAAAACACGAGGAAGAGGTCTATGTCAAGAAAAAGACTTTTGAGGCTGGATGATGATGTTGATGAGAGTGGCTCAGGATAGATGTGGTTGAAAACACGAGGAAGAGGTATATGTTCAGAAAAGGACTTTTGAGGCTGGATGATGATGTTGAAGTAATCCAAGTAAATTTAATGTATGATCTGGTGCACTTCTGACCTTATATCATGTTTTTTATTATACCCTGTGCATGTATATATATATATATATATATTATATATATATATATATATATATATATATAATATATATATATATACTTATACATATACATATTAATGGGACGCTATATACATTATATGTACTATACGTCTATAGATAAAAAATGTAGATATTGAAGTACTTCTGGGGAGTCTGGAATATCTATATCTACACTTGAG